GATCAGACATGACGTACATGTTTAAACAAGAAGAGCTTGATTAAAAGATAAAATAAATCAATCAATCAATACTAAACATGACGAAATGGTGATTCATTCTTACCAGTTTTACATCTCCAACTGGATTATCTTTTGAAGTATAGGATTCATCAGGTTGTGCTGCACCAATTATTTTCTTTGCCCTATCTGCATTTTCGAAGCCATAATTTGTTCGCGACCCAGGAGCCAACCCCAGCTCCTCCCCAGAAACTCTTGTTTTCTTCTTCTTCCTCCTCTCAGTTTCATCTGTGTAACAGCTGTCATGGTCAACCACATATCACAAATAGGAACACAATGACATTCACCAGATAGAATTCAAATTCTCACATGAGCACATTAGAAATTGAGCAATAACCAATATCAGCAAGTCTATTCCCAAATAACAAAACAAAACAAAAGGCACCTAAATATTGATAGGCACAACCAATCCATTTAACAGAACCTACATTGGAAGTAGGAAATACTCAATCTAATATTTTCCGCATAGCACAAACGTAACTAAACAAAAGCAACATAAATATCCTTACCATCCATAAGCAACCTGCACAACTCTGCTGCTTCTGCTGCCTCATCTTCAATCTCCTCTTCTGCCTGAGCCAAGGAAGGGCGCCTTCTCATTTTAAGCCCTTTAACACCATCCAATTTTTCATGATTGGATTCATGATCACCTCCTAGCACTTCTTCACATTCTTCTGCGTCAAGCAAATTTTCTAAATCCCCAGCAAAGGAATCCAGATCGCTATTATTGCCTTCAGAGTCGCTCTCATTTTCTTCCCCATCTAGAGCTGAAAGACTCTGAACTTGCCGATCCCAAATTTCTTGACACTTCTCCCGGTTCTGCTGCTGTAGCTGGAGGAAGGACATACGCTGGCCACGTGCATATTTACTGATAGTGTTTGCATCAACTTTTACCCCAGATGCAGCTTGCTCACTTGAAAGCTTGCGTATCATTGCAATCCGATGCCATCTAGTCTGCCTCGCAATCAGTTCATCAGAAACACCGAATTTAAGAAGAACCTGGGAATAAGAACACAATTAAAGTCAACATAAAACAATAAATACATCTATATATCCCACAACATTTCCGAAAGGAAACAGAGATGCTAAAACACCTTATTGTACAATGGAAGATAATTTTATGTTATGAGGGCATAGACCTACTAGCAATTTCTCATGCACGCCAGGATATCTTTTTAAAGTCACATAAAATATACTTATTTCTGTCCTACATGTTAACAAGGATAGCCAAGATTTAATTAAACAAAAAGGTAGAGATGCCCACAAGGGAAGCTAGAAATATAAATTAAGATTCTTAAATAACGTTTTTTTTCTTGACCGTTCAATGAGATTTAGGGCAGCATTAATGCACCTCTCGTGCAGCCTCCATGCTTAATCTGCGTAGATCAGCATCTGTTCCGGTAACAGTGGAACCTCCTCGAGTAGCAGCAGATTTTTTTTTCACCACTGCACTTGACATAGATGCTTTCGGTGCAGCACGAACATAACTAAAACCTAGGCCCCGGCCAGATGGATCACCAACACCAGATATTTCCAAACGCTCAATATTTTCTTTTCCCTTAAAAACAACAAAGAAGATCGTGTAAACAAACAAATAAATGGAAAAGAGGTTGCTAGACTAATTACCTTTTCCGGTCAATTAGCCATGAGAATATGATGCAAATCTCAAAAACAGGATCACAAGTAAAAGTGCACTTGATGAAAAAAAGAAATCATAGAGTCAAAGATATATGTTTACCTGTGTACATGCTACAAAATTGCTACTCAAGTTCCATGGAGTAATCTGCAGTTCCCTTTCAATGTGTGATGCAGCAGCCAGAGTAATTGCGTCATCAGGGAGACGACTCATTGCAGATGATATGGCAGAGGGATGTGTTTCAGTAATTCCCAAATGTTTGAGCCGGTAAAGACCAGCTTGCATGCTTTCATAGGCACACACCTATACAGCAAAATGTTAAGAACAAAAAGATGCATGAGCATCATATCTCTTTGGTCATAACTACTATTTAACCTGCTGAGTTGAGGCGTCAAATTAATAACTTATCGCAATCCATTTCTAAAATTGCAAGACAAAGTATAAAGGATAAACTAGATAAGTTGATTCCTTCAAGCCATTTATAAACTGTATACAAGTATTGCTTCAATGTGCCTGAATGACTGTGTGCTAACATGATGAAACAAATGCTTCATGCTATTCAACTAAGTGTCCATCAGAAATTCAAGAATTAATCACACTTTGAACGTTTTTTAAGCCAAACTTTGGCTGCCAAAGCATATGCATTTAGATGAGATTAGATTAGATTTTGGTGAAGAACAATCATTAGAAGAATTCAATTATTAGGGGACAACATTAGGAATAACGATGGATTTCTATGAAGCATCCACAAACAAGAATGTTCGAAAGATTTAACTTAATAAAAGCAGAAAAACAAAAGATTTGAAGTGTAACTCACCTCTTCTGGCTTCACCATATTTCTTAATTCATCCTCTGAGAAAATTCGGAAGTTGCGTTTCTTAACCCACATCCATTGTCCATTTGATCCCCTCTGGAAATGTTGCATATCCATTCAGAATGATAAGTTGAGTAAAGAACAGTAAACAAGAAAATAATAATAATACATCAAAAGAGAACTGAGCAAAAAGAAAGTGCCTGCAAATTTGCATGTTCCTTCAGCTTCTTCCGAAGAAAGGCTTCAGATAGATAAGGAAATTGTGAAGGTAGCTCATCTGCACGGATGCAAGGAAGAAAATGGCGCTTTTCGGCAGCACGGAACTCTCGGCACATGTAGACTAAGAGCCTGTTAATCATATAAGTTTGAAGATTCTTAGTTCCAGGTGACATTACCTCCATGAGAGGTTCCTGCAAACAATAGTAGGAGAACAACTCAGATTCAACAATATATGTTCCGGAAAGATTGTCTCTCAATACACATAGATCTACTGAAATTGTTATTGACTGGCAGTGCACAATTTAGACACAAGTAATCTACTAATATTCCAATATGGAAAAGCAAACAAACAAAATAAAACCACAACGGAACCAAGTAACAGATATCGACCTAGAGAATCGTATTACAAAATCCAGGATATATACTAAAACACTCAGACAAACGAAAAGCTTTCACTTTATGGTGGCGTCACGTTTTCCGCTAAACCCACGAACATCAATTTCACATAGAATTTGAATGGAAGGCAGAAAATGTCATCTCCTTCAGTTACACTTCTCCACTCCCTCCCCTATGGGCTGTATTTGACTCATCTATTGAGCACACCTAGACATGAGGGAGATTGTTGTATGGATTGTTGGGTTGTGAGCTTGATATATATTCAAGGACGCATTTCCCAATGGCTCAGACATTGAGAACCCACACTGGCTAAGCTCATCCAAAAACAAGTAAATGTTACATTTATGTTCTGTTTGAATTATTATGTAATATGTGTTACGTCAGAACTATGAAAATGCAACAAAGTACTAAAATGCATACAAGAAAATCACTTTTTTTATAATCAAACAAGGACATGAGTAAAGCCAAGCACCAACAACTTGCATCAGTTGCCCGTAAATCACCAACAGGAGGAGGGACAAAAAAAAAAAAAAAGCTTCTGAAACCCAAGAGAACAAAATAAAAATATTGGAGGATTATGCAATGAAGGGTACTGCTATTACAAACCTGTTGGCCAACAACATTAAGTTTGTCAATGCGTCTAATTGAAAGCTTTCCCTTTGCAGAACGAACCAACAAATAATCAGTTGATGGCACCTTATGAGAAAATACAGGAGCTCTATACATGTTTGTTTCAAGCGATGACTGACTGCAACCAGCTTTTGTATCTCCAAGAAAAGGTGATTTATCAGCAGGATTTAGTGAGATGACATGTCCCAAACTGTTGCTGTCACTGCGTAACAAAGAACCAGTTTGATCATCTGGGGCTGATTTTTGATAATAAGTGCACAATCTTGCACCCATACCAGCGTTGCTCAAAAGTAAAGGTCTTTCCTCACAGTACCTGCAAAGAAAATAAATCAAATTAATTTGGTATGGTCACCTCCATATCTGTACAGTTGAAAAAAAAAATAAAAAGAAGTTATGCTTGGCCAAAAAGAAAAACCAAGGAACAATACTTCTTCTTTTTTTTTTTCTTTTTTTTTTTTTCTTTTTTTTTTTGAAAAGCAACAGACATATACTAAAGTAGAAAATCTAATTACAAAGAGTGGATAAGGAATCCAAAATCCGAAGAGAAAACAGAAAATACAAACTACAAAAAAAAAAGGGGGGGGAGAAGTTAGTAAAAGCTCAAACTTGAAAAATCTAATCAAACATTAAAGAAGAATGAGAATATCCCTAAAAATAAACCAAAACCAATGCCCACAGAGCTGCCCAGA